TGCAACAAGTGAGTCAATAAAATATAATGAAATTAGATTCTCATATGTGTTGGAAACCCACCAAATATCTATGATAAATTTCTACATAGTGACAATGAATTATGAGAAAGAAAAGAAAAGAAAGAAGACAATTATTTTCTACAGAGTTTCTCTGCCCACAAACTGTAGAAAATTGTGTTATTCACTTTGCAACTGCAAAATACTGTGAATGACTTAATTGACTTAATTACAAACTTAAGGGTTACTCCCTATTTATAGATTTTGGTTAGCTCAAAGCCCAAAACTATAAAAGCCCAAAATACCTATTTTGGTACTAAATCAAATCTATCTATTTTAAATTTAAATCCAATCTATTTAAATCTAAAACAAATCTAATTTGTGTGCTCTTCGACACACCATAGTTTTGACACTATGAATTACAATTTAACACACCACATAATTTATTGTGTCTAAATTATCTACATTCATCATGGCTTTTAGTCTTCTGAATACTTTGACATCATCTTCATTTGCATCTTTCGACAGTTGCAGTCTTGGTTCTGTAGGTGTCGAAGTTGAGTTGCATTCTTCCATCTCAAACCTCTTGAGAATTTCTCTTGCATATCTTCTTTGATGCATCATCAAACCTCTACTGCTCTTGTAGAATTCGATGCCAAGGAAATATGAAATCTCACCCAGATCAGACATTTCAAATTCCTTGTTGAGATCACCTTTGAAGTCTTTGATCTCACTTTTACAGCTACTTGTTATCAACAAATCATCTACATAGAGACATAGTATAAGAAATTCACTATTGCTTCTTCTTACATATACTCCATGTTCAGTTGTGCACTTCACAAATTCCTTCTCCCTTAAGAAACTATCAATTTTCTTATTCCAAGCTCTTGGAGCTTATTTCAATCTATACAGGGCTTTATGCAGCTTGTACACCTTTCTCTCTTCGTCATGTTTCACAAACCCAACTGGTTGTTTAACATAAAATTCTTCGTCTAAGGGTCCATTCAGGAATGCACACTTTAAGTCCATCTGGCATATGTGCCATCTGTTTATTTCTGCTAGACCAACAATCAACCTGATTGTTTCGATCCTAGAAACAGGTGCAAAAACTTCATCAAAGTTTATTCCTTCATTCTGTAGAAATCTTTTTGCCACAAGTCTTTCTTTGTGCCGAGTTACTTCCCCTTTCGAATTCGTTTTCACTTTGTATACCCACTTGACATCAATTGCCTTTTTCCTTGAGGCAATTCGACAAGTGACTAAGTGTTATTGTCTTCGATAGACTTCACTTCTTCGTTCTTTGTTTTCACGCACTTCGAATCTTTCAATGCTTCAGCTGCATTGACAGGTTCGACATCTGCATAGAAAGCATAATGTACCAACTCACCTTCATTATCTATCACATCATCTGATGTAATCACATAATCTTGCAATCTTGCAGGCATGTGTCTTGTTCTTTGAGGCCTGCTTGTACTTGGTTGATCTATAACTGTTGGTTCCTCTTGTCGAACTTCTCTTTTGACTCGAGTCTTTGGTTCTTCAAGTAGGATTCTCACTGAATTTTTCTTGACATTTTTATTCCAATCTCATTCTTTAAACTCATCTATGATCATGTCCATGCTGATCACAATCTACTTCTTCACTGGGTTGAACAACTTGTAGCCTCCTGTCGAATGATATTCAACTAGAATCATTTGACTTGACTTGTTATCAAGTTTTCTTCTTAACTGATCTGGCACATATCTATGTGCAATAGATCCAAATATCTTCAGATGACTCAAGTTAGGCTTTAAACCAGACCAACATACTTCTGGAGTAATTCCTTCTAGCTTCTTCATAGGACATCTATTCAAAATGTATGTTGCAATCGAAACAGCTTCACCCAAAAACTCTTTAGGTAAATTATTGCCTTTCAACATACTTCTCACCATATTCATGATGGTTAGATTCTTCCTTTATGCAATTCCATTATGTTGTGGAGTATAGGGTGACACCACCTCATGCATAATCCCTTCCTTTTCACATAGCCTGTCGAAGTATTTCGACACATACTCTCTACCACCATCAGTTCTCAAAACTTTGAGTTTTCGACCACTTTGTCTTTCGACCATAAACTTAAACTTGGCAAATACTTTGATCACTTCAATTTTCTTCTTGATCAGGTAAGTCCACAGATTTCAACTGAAATCATCTATGAATGTAACAAAGTATTTGTTACCTCCCGTTGAATCCACCTGAATTGGTCCACATACATTAGAGTATATGACTTCAAGAGTAACCTTCGACATGCTTCTTGCATCCTTGCTGAAGCTATTCTTGTGTTGCTTTGCCTACACACATTCCTCACATACCTCGTTTGGAATATCGATTTCTGGCAATCCTGAAACCATATTTCTTCTCTTCAAATCTCTGATGTCTCTGAAGTTGAGATGGCCTAGTCTATAATGCCATATCCATTCATCTCTGCTAGCTGCAGTTGAAAGGCACTTGTGCTCCATCACATTTAGTTCGATATTGAAGATTCTATTTTGAGACATTGAAGCCTTCAAGAATAATCTTTCATTTTCATCGACGACTCTCATTATCTTTGATCGACACTTTATAATTATTTTCGACCAACTTCCCTATACTGAGCAAATTGATCTTCATTCCTGGTATGTACAACATATTGGAAATTACTGACCTCTTGTCATCTTTCTTCACAATCATAACATCACCAATACCTTCAACTGCTAGGGTATTATCGTTTGCAAATTTTACCATATTTTTCATTGAGGGCTTTATGTTGACAAACTAGTCTTTCCTTCCAGACATATATGATGAACATCTTGAATCCAAGTATCATTGGTCCTTGAATCTATCTTCATCTCTTATTGTGACCATCAGCATCATCTCTTCTTCTTCATGTTTTACAAACTTTGCATCACTTTCTTGATTCTTTCGCTTTTCTGGACAATCACTCGAATAGTGACCATACTTCTGACAATTGTAACATTGAATGTGACTCTTATCAGGTTTTTGACCACCACCTCTTCCTCTATTTGCAATATCACCTCTTTGGTTGTCTTGATATGGTCTTCTTTGATTCGACACGTTTCCTCCGTTCTAGTTTCCTCTACCATTCAATTTGTTATAGTTGCCTCTACCTTTGTCGAACCATTTTCCTTTGCTTTTGGTTTCTTTTGTTAAATGTGCATGCAAAGCCACATCACTATTCGACTTGCCTGAAGCTCTTTCTTTCATTCTTTGTTCATGAGATTCAAGCGTCTATTGAAGCTCTTCCTTTGTCAATTTCGACAAGTCTTTCCCCTCTTCTATAGTCACCACCACGTAGTTGAACTTAGGAGACAAAGATCTCAAGATCTTCGAAACAACATCTCTTGTTGTTAATATTTCTCCACATGCCTTGATTTGGTTCACTAGTTTTGTAACTCTAGTAAAGAAAGCAGATATGCTTTCATTATCTTCCATCTTAAGCAATTCATACGTTCTCTTGTGAGTTTGTAACCTCGCTTCTTTCACCTTTTCTGCACCACCAAAGAACTTCTCAAGAACATCCCAAACTTCTTTTGCAGATTCTGAATCACTCATTTTTTCAAAATTTTCTAGACTCACACATTGATGAATTATAAATAGTGTTTTATAACTCAACTTCTCAATTTATGTGTGTTTCTTCTTTTCTTCTTCTGAAGCGTTTTTTTCAAGCGCTTCGAATCCATCTTTTACAAGATCCCAAAAACTTTGACACCGAACTCTGATACCAGATGTTGGAAACCCATCAAATATCTATGATGAATTTCTACACAATGACAATGAATTATGAGAAAGAAAAGAAATAAGACAATTATTTTCTACAGAGTTTCTCTCTACCTATAAACTGTGGAAAAAATTGTTATTCACTTCGCAACTACAAAATACTGTGAAGGACTTAATTGACTTAATTATAAATTTAGGGATTACTCTCTATTTATATATTTTGGTTAGCTCAAAACCCAAAATTATAAAAGCCTAAAATACATATTTTAGTACTAAATCAAATCTATCTATTTTAGATCTAAATCAAATCTATTTAAATTTAAAACAAATCTAATATGTGTTCTTCGACAGACCATGATTTTCACATTATGAATTACAATTTAACGATACGTTGCCTACGACGTGTTTGTTGAAATACACCTGCCAACCATTTCCAAGGCTGCTAAGCTTGTCAAGTCTATTAAGGAACTTTCAAATGTCAAAGAGGAAGTTTATGGAGCTCTTGATACATATGTCGCTTGGGAACTAAAATTTCCTTTAATTTCCTTTGATTATGAACAAGGTAGTAATTGCAAGAGAAAGTTAAATCATGAGTTCTCTATGGTTCCGGATGACCGTTCGTTGAATGTTGACGGTGATTTTTCTCTTTCTAGATTTACAAATCTTCCTGACTTAAATGAATTTGATCTGTCGAGATTGGATTTAAATTGTTATACAGAGGTGCTCGAGGTTGAGGATTGGAAGGATCCTATGGCGATAAAGTTTGAGGAGTTACTGGTGAGTAATTTGGATTCGATTTTCAGAAATGCAATCAGGAAGATTGTTGATTTATGTTATAGTCAAGAAATGGTTGAAGTGGCACTTTCAAGGAAGGCCTTGTATGCAGAAGGAGACCTTCTCATGAATATTGTATGTTACACACTGAAAATTTTGAAGGAAAAATGTAGTGAGAGCATTGCAGAATTTGAATTTCAAAACTTTAAGCAGTTACTGCATTTGAGATTGCAAAATCTTCTACCACTTTGTTCTCCAATTCTAGACACAAATTTGGAGTTAGATACTCTAACCAATTCAACTGGAGCAAAAGGTTTGTTTCTCAAGAGTTATAGTACTTCAAGGAGTCTTATTTGACAGATAAGTGTGTTGTTTATTCAGTTGGTTCAGATGATTTTGCAGCAGTAACAATAAGTTCTCATAGTGTTGATGCAATTAATGGCTCTATTCCAATATCACGTGATATAGTAGCAATGTCTCCGAATTTTGGGTCCACTACAGCTATAGATGCAGGCATTCCTAGTTATATATTCGCAGAAAAGCTAGTTCGTATTGGTAGATCTATTCCTGCAGGCACCTACAGCTGAAAAGTATATTGTATACCCTGAAGTTATTCAAAGCCTGGGAAGATGTATGACAACAAGACGAGACAATCCAGATAGTGCACTTTGGAGGTTAGCAATTGAAGCATCCAATCGTGTTCTTGTTGACTATGTAACCAAATTAACAAAAGGTGGTCCACAGTCGGGCATAACTAAACCTGTCAGAACACGAATATGGAAAGAAATTACCGATGTTTATGAAATATTCCTTGTTGGATACTGTGGACGAGATCTTTCATCAAATTCTCTCTCGACAGTGGCGTTAGAGGCTGATGAGTCCCTTGAGATGACTATCTTGGAAACTCTTGGTGACATTGTCCTCAAATTGCCAATTGACACCCCTGTAGATGTTGTGCAGCGACTGGTCTCCACGTTGGACCGTTGTGCATCACGCACATGCTCTTTACCTGTTGAGACTTTAGAGATGATGCCTCCACACTACAGCAGATTTTCCTTGACCTGTTTGCAGAAGTTATTTTCTTTGAGCAGTTATTTTAATGAAATCAATTGGAATATGACGAGATTTGAAGTCAACAAAATCTCAATTATGGTGCTTATGACCAGATGTGAATACATCTTGAGCTGGTTTCTGACTGATGAAAAAGGCTTAGCATTGGTCTTGAGATTTAAACACAATCCTGTGTGTTACTTCTTGATGAACCAACTAGTGGATTTGATAGTGCCTCAGCTTTCTATGTCATTCAAGCATTAACTAACATAGCTTTTAAAGGAAAAAAAGTTATTTGTTCAATTCATCAGCCAGGGTGTGAAACTTTTAATATTTTTGATGATTTGCTTTTGCTATCAAATGGAGAAACTGGTTATTCTGGAGAAGCAAACATGGCTCTAATGTTTTTTGCTGATACAGGTTTTCCTTGTTCCATTAAAAGAAATCCTTCTGATCATTTCATTATGAGCATTAATTTGGACTTTGGTTTGGTTAATGAAGCTCTTGCTAGATGTCATACAACATCAAATTCAACAGATGGAATTATAAGAACTGCAGATGCATTTTTTCTTCCTGTTTTAATAATTATATTTTCTAGAACATTGAGGACAATGTTAATTGTCAAGGGGTAGGTAATGATAAGATCATGGAGTTAATTTTATATAATCTAAATAGTTAAGTTAGAAGTTGAATATTATTTAGTTAGACTTTTATTATTTAGTTGGGCTTTTTAGACTTTTATTATTTAGTTAAGTTCTATATATATGTACTCTCATTGAGAGATTTGGAATAATCAAATGAAATCATAAATCAAGGAAAATTATTTTATTTCTTATTTCACTTTGTTTATCTCTTCATAGTTTAGAATTTTCAACTTCTATTAGTTTTGTTAGGATTTCTAATTTAGGATCCTAACACTCAAGCTTTGTGATCCCTAGTGTTTGGATCGGGTTGGAACCGTGGAAATTATCTTACATACTCTACAAGATTGCAAAACTGCGAGACAAATTTGAATGTCTCTCCTAAACTCATTGGAAGTCTTTTTAATTTGAATATGCGGAAATGGCTAGAATATGCAGAAATGGCTAGAGCAGAATATGGTGCAATCTGAGCAAGAATGATAATGAAGACTAGCAAACTATATAGACAACTTCCAATCGAGAAATAATAAGTTGGTCACAACCCCAATTCGTTTAGGCACACACAAAATATTATATATCATTTAAATACTGTGAAAAATATATTATTTAATTACTTTATTCTCAAACTTTTTTTAGTATGTGTGTGTGCCTATATGTTGATGCCCATGCAAGAGTATCTCCTTCCAATCATTCAATCAGTGAGTGGGCAACTTCGAGTCATTCAATCAGTCATTCAATATGATATTGGAGAAACAAGCAAATGCATGTTGCCGATTTGCAGGATAAATTTACTTACACTCAAAGACTCACTAAGCAAATACAATGGACACCACTTGAGGATGTTGTGTTCTATAACAATAGCAGAGTTGTGGGGAGTCTTGGAATGATTGAAGATTGTCCTTGACAAAGGATATAGCAAAGTGGAAATACAAATAGACTGTGAGGTGTATGAAGCAATTTCGAAAGAGAAACACGAGCTGGGAGCATATTTGGGTCTTCAACGAAGAATAAGAAGTATAATCACACAAGATTGGGAAATCTGCGTATCTCATATCTATCGTGAAGTAAATAGGTGTGCGGACGCGCTTGCAAGATTAGGAGTTAATCATGGAGAAAGAATACTTTTCTATGATGATTGTCCCCAAGATATGTGTTATTTGTTAGTATAATCTTTTTCTGTTTAGGGCTTAGGCCCTCTTAAATCAGAAAAACATATGAACTTATTCTCATACACAACCAAGTGAATCAAAAACAACAGTATGCCATAATATTGTCAACATTCTGCACAAATGTTGTTTGCCGCCTTGAAAATCAAGGAATGCAAAGCAATATTCTTTTAAATTCAATATAGAACCTCCATCTATGTCAATGCCTATGAATAAAAACTAGAAATCTTTGATCTAATATGATAAATCCACCATCACAGCCTCCTACTACCTCTTGACCTACTGGCTTCGTACTTGAGGATACTGGATCTCAGGAACATAGACTGAAGATCTCGATCAAATTCCCTTCCAGTTTCTAGAACCCGTTGAAAAGTGGCCTTCCTTTGATCTGCATGTCGTGCATACATAACCTTGTTGTGTGAATCAATTCGCGCCTGCAAGACCATAATTAGATACATAAGCAATGCTTATCTGGTACCTACAATTTTTAGACTAAAAGGCATTTCACTAATAATTAAACTGGGTTGGGGGACAGAAAATTTGAGAAAACCAAAGAACCTGTATCTGATTATCAGTAATCAAAGTCCCGAGTTCTTTTTGAAGTCCAGCAGCAGTTGTCTTGAATGCATTAGCCATCATGTTCAAATCAACAGACACAAATGGGAGTGTATACTGGATAAGAGCTTTCTGACGGATTAGATCATAAAGTGTCTCAACATGGGAATGCAAATGTATGTCCAGTAACAAGTTTGATTTTAGGTTCCCTAGGTACTCCAGACACACTGCATAGCGGCTGCAGAAAAGGAAGAAAATGTATTAGTAGGGGAGGAGAGAAAAGCAAAAAAACAGTTTGAATAACATGCCATTATAAGTGGTGCAGTAAAGTCCTCCTAAATCTTAAAAGAAGCCAAGGCTTGGGATGTAAAAGTGTGTTCCTCTCCAAATTTCAGGTTTGAATTTCCCTAAGTGCTAACAATTCCTATGTTGGGTCACTACATACAGAGCTTTGCAAAGCTTTGCTTTCAGCTGTGCCCCCGTTAGTGGATGGTGGGATTGGTCCCTAGATTAGTTGGTCCTCGAGCCGGATATCACGTCTTAAAATAAAATAAAATAAAATCATAATTAGGATTGACAATGATATCTTCAAGACTACCAAACTAACAAAATATTCCTGCAACATACATATAACATTCATCAAAGTATTACATGTAATGATGATGAGAAATATCCATCTCCAGATATGAAGTTCAAGTAACAGCATTTTTCATAACCTCCAACCCCGCCACCCCTTCATGACAAGAAGAAGAGATTCCCACTAATTGCATACAACATGGATAAATGTATTACACTAATAATCAATCATTAAAAATAGCCAACCAGCAACATCAATGTTAAATTTGGATCTGCAGTTCTATAATGCCGCTAGTTATATTTAAAGGTTTCCGTAACATACAAATAACACTTGTCAATTTGTTGCAGCACATAACCAATGTCAAGTAATACCATTCTCCATGCATACATTCTAATTCATTATTTTTAATTCCATGCTCATTTTCACATGAATAAAGCTAGGCATAATATATTATCACAAACTACATAACCTAGGCAGTCCAATTCCACCAAATGAAGGGTAATCAATCTATTTTCAATTCATTTAGGCAAGAAAACAGGAATGTGATGAGTGGAGATAACTCAGCAGAGAAAAAAGAAAGTGCAACAACTTGCCTTGAGTAAAAATTATTTATAAGTTCCCTTACTTCAGGCACTAACTCTAAGAAATTCCTGAAGACGGTATTGTCTATAACTTTGTTCTGCAAATAAAAGAAAACTAAATCAGAAAGGCATCGTAAACAATGTCTCACAATTGCCATTTACAAGCAGAATATAAACCGAGTACATGCCTTTAACTCTGCCCGATCAAACGTAGCAAGTGCGCAAAGTCCTCCATACATCGCAACATCTTGAGATGAAATCACTTCATTGTAGTGACTCCCTAGTTCAGGGCTAGTCTCTATAAACTGAATTAGATAATGAAGACAGTCACCAAAAAGTTATAAACAATATGTAAACATTATATCATCATTAAGTCATCGATAATTAATATTGAATCCTCAACTATTGAGAGATTGAATACCCCATGCAACAATTAATACGAGTGATCGTGATGATTCCAATCACATGTAAAATGTAAATGATAGATTATACAGATTAGGAGATTTTCAACGTTGTGAAAATCAGTATTCTCTTTTTTGGTAAATTATAGTCTTGGTCACTAATATGATAATATCAAAATGACTGAACTTTTAATAAGTAACAAATCTGCCTTCACCAAATTGAGAATTAAGACATGAACTGGCATGTCAAAGATCAAATTCCAACTCACATGTCAAAGATCAAATTAGAGATCAAATTTCAAATCAAATAAATAACACAGTTTCAACCTGGTCTCTGACCTTGGTCACTCATTATTCATTATATCCTCTCCATGAACGCTTTTTATAAGAAATATACTGTGTATTTCATATCTTGGTAAACTAATACATAAGAGGTATTTATAGGATACAAGTGACCGTAAAATAGAGCACAATCAGTTGATAATCAAGGGTAATCATTCTCCCTATCAATATTGATTCTAAATACATTAAAGACAAATCATTACAATTAATTATCATTTACATTCAGTCGTAATGAGTTGTAAAACACCATGATTGGATTTCTTCTGCAGCAAAATCTATTTGATTCTGTGCTAATATTCAACACTTTTCTATAGCAACAATTTGAGCAAGACATTTTCCACACAAGAATGAGATGCCACCTCTATTCACACAATCGTTACCATTGCATAAAATCTACGAAGCACGGACACCTCTAGAAGTAGGCATGTCGCGGTGTCCAACACATGTCGGTGTACGACACGTGTCGGAAAAGTCAAACAAGTGTCGGAAAAGTCAAACAAGTGTTGGAAAAGTCAAACAAGTGTCCCAAAAAAATTGGTCTTTTTTCTTGCTTCGGCACATTTTGAATCGATGTCCAATACTCATATGACATTCATACAACATGTGTCTGATAATTCAGACAAGTTTTCTTTTAAAAAATTGTGTTTTTCTTTTCTTCAACACACTTTATACATTTTCTAGACAAATATCACGTATGATTAGAAGGGTTAAACCTGTATTGAAGCAATGTTATCGATCCAGAATTGAAGACATTAATTTTGATTAGAATATTTATAACTTTTGTGATATTAGATGAATAAATGAAACTCGAATACTATAACATATATAGAGGTGTCGGTGTTCTAGGTTTTTGACATATCGGTGTCAAAGTGTCCGTATCGGTGTCGTGTCGCGGTGTCCGTGTCGGAGTCTGTGCTTCATAGCATAAAATACTTCTACCAGAAGCAAGGACAAAACCAGTATAGTAATACTTAATAAATGAGATCTATTGAAGAATTAACATCTTTGACATATGTAATTCATAACAGGCCTTAATCATAATCAAGTACAGCATTATCCTCATGCAGCTTGATCAAACTTTTATCAAGTAACTCGCTCTTTCATCGCCCCCAATCACAGCAGAGCAAGTAAATTTCCTGTCCCTCCTCTCCATGGCCAGAGGATGATGCCAGTTAGTCGTAACAATATAGTGGACTGAACAGGATATAGACACTAGTCATATAACATTTTAAAGGAGCCCTCATGAATGACTATAGCAATAGACCTGAGTTTCTGTCAGCATAAAGACTCAAGTTTTTTCACTGTCTTCAGAGCAATAGTGATTTCTTCATAATGAAGCATTGGAAAGGAAACCTTCTACATGTGGACG